GGAAATTAAGATATTTGTTTCATTATAAAATTGGATATTGATATAAATAAGGGTGTTTTTGCTTTTCCTTTTGAATAAAAATTATTTTAAAGCATAAAACCAAAGTATTGAGATAAATCATATTGTATGACAGTAAAAGCGCGAAATAGGGTGGGTGGCACCATCTAGCGTGTTTGGAAAAAACGTTCGGCGACGTAGTACTGGCGGCGAACGTTACAATATCGTCAGCAAACATCGGAAGAGTGAATGTCGTTACCGACAAACTACGCGATAAGTCCACGTATTGTTTGCGAGGGAAAACTGTCGCCGGGCAGAACTGCGCCTGCTCAGACCCGAAGTGGGGATGAGGAAGAAGGCGGACATGCGAAATTCGAAAGAACGTTCATGGTCTTTCGTTATCTAAACTTCGTTGCGTCAAGATCTCGGTCTCTTTGACAAATGTTTTCTTACGTACTCACTGTGCGGAAGCGAAGTCCCGCGTGCGCAACATAATTGCGGCGTGTATTAACGCGTGCGTTCACGGTAGATAGCAACCACCGATCACTTCGAGTGTGCTACAACGGGGCGGCCTACTTTGACGCGAATACGCGAAAGTTCCGAGTGCGTGTAATCGTAGATAGCAACCACCGATCACTTCGAGTGTGCTAACAACGGGGCGGCCTACGAACACGTCATTCTATATTCCGAGTCACGATACGCATAAATCTCGAGGAACGCGAAACGAGCGTTAACTACCGATCATATCCGCGAAGCGTGAAGTCGGTTCAATTTATAAGTGCGTTGTATGAATGTGTCGTGTGCGTGAATAGTTATTTTTGAATAAATTCATTGTTATTATTACACGTAAACGAGTCGTCATTTCGACAAACACGTCCTCGCGATAGTTCGAAAGATTTCAGCATCGCAAACGAGGAATTCAACACGCCACGAGCACAGCAATGAGAAGTCCCAAACGAGAGGTCCAGCCAACGAGCAACGAGGATTCAGGGAAATCATCAAATCAACCTTGTTATTTGGCGGTAAAAATAACTGGCGACCGAATTAGTAAGTAATTCAGTACATTATACGGCATTGTCCGGTTACAACCTAACCTTTTTTTTTTATAAAGGTGATAAAAATCTTCATAGGCCCGTATTCATAGTCAAGTCTCAAGTTAGCACTTAAGACTTTCTTGGCGAAGACCATCTTATTCAATTAAGATCATCTCAAGTACAATACATTTCATAGTGGCGAAATAAGAAGATCTTCGCGAAGAAGTTTTTGTCTAAGTAGATCTTAATTGATATAAGATCGTCTTTGCGAAGATATGCTTAAGATTGTGCTTATTTATTAATCGGCTGTTTCCGTAATATTACTAGGCGTTCCACCAATGGGAATATTGCATAC